TTTTCGTGGTAACACCTTCAGCCAGAAACCGCCTTCAGCCTTCATGAAACCGTCCTTAGCAATTTTGATCGGTACTGACGTTTTCTTGCAAATTTTCAGTTCGCAACGTGCCAGTAAATGAAAGAGTACGACCTTTGTCTCCAACAATGCGAATCTGTTACCTATACACATTCTAGGACCAAGACCGAAAGGAAAGTAGGCTCCAGAGTTGAGAGTGTCCTTCTTCCGTTCACCACGAAACCGCTCGGGATCAAATTTCTCCGGCTCCTCAAAGTACTTGGGATCACGCTGAAGTGCATAAACTGGTAGCCATATGCCTTGTCCTTTCTTTAAAAGAAATGGTTTCAATCCTGGTAATGCTGGAGGTAGCTCAAAATCCTTTACGCATACTCTGTCCATTACTGGAGCAACCGGATACATTCGGAGAGCTTCATTAATCACAGCATCTAAATATTCCATGCCGTTAATCGCTTCGTAAGATGCTTCCCCATTTGTTTCTTCTAAAATTTTGTCAATGTCCTTTTGAAGTTTCTCTTGTATGTCCTGATTTACCGCAATTTCATGAGCGGCAAAACACATTAATGTTGATGTACTGTCAAAGCCGGCAAAGAAAAAGACGAATGCTTGACCTGCTATCTGATCGATACTTAATTCTGCTTTGCCTTCCTTATTCCTGGTTTCCATCATCAATTGTAACATATCAGGACGGACGATACCATTCTCATCTCTGGTTTTTATAGTAGTTTCTATGATGTTTCGGAAGAAATCTGCGATTTTCTGACGAACGATTTTCAAATCGATTATATATGCCAACCAAGGCATAATTCGATATATGTATAACTTTAATAAAGCAGTACTGTTAAAAGAGGTCGCTTCTTTGCCGTATACATAAAATTCATTCTCCGGGTTTTTCATAGAATCAACACTAATGCCAAAAACGCAAGTAGCAATCACATCGTTAGTATATCTCGCAAAGACGTCTTTCATCTCCATTATTCTTTGCTCCGGTGGTAATTGCACCAGGTAATTACCAAAATTG